AGGCTCGTGCACTGGAGACGGAGATCCTGAACTCACACTGCTCTGGTGTAGGGGAAGATGAAACAGTAAAGCCTTATAAATATGATTGTCTGGCAAAAGGTTTTGAGAATATAGAAACTATAAGTGAGATTGAAAGGAAAGCAAACTTTGAGATACCTCAGTTACTGAACAACTGGAAAACAATAGTATGGCCAGCTGAAGGTTTTTTGATGAAACAATGCCCTCTGCTTGCAGACAGGTCCAAGGGTCAGAATAGACCCCACTAGCTTGGCAGAATGGGCACAAAGGGGAGTTTTTAGGGTTTAAAATGTAGCACAGTATGGTAATGTAATGATTGTTATAGGCTGGATGTAAATGCTATAGGATTTGTATCTTGTACTAGATTGGTTAGTGAGAATTAGAATATTCAACACAGAAGAAGATTTATTGTATTGTAATGGGAACCTCGCTCTCTTACCTTTTTTACTCCCTTACACTCTCACCCTCTCTCTCTCACCCTCTCTCCCCTCTCGGGCCTGCTCTGAGCTGTGGCTGGCAGCTCCCAGCAGGGCCCTGCACTTGGCCCTTTGCAATAAACCCCAAATTCCATGACCTGGCTGTAGAGATCCCTTGTGTCTGTCTGTCCCAACCATCCTACCCCGTGACGCTCCTACATGTGGAATCCTTCCTCAATTTCCACTTTAAACCTCACAAAAATCACCATCCCCTCCCTTGCCCTTAGCTGCTTTCTGTGGCTGGGTTTTGCTCTGGGCACACCTCCAGGAGCCAGGTAAGCTGGCATTTTGCAGCAGGTGACAGCTGCCACTCTTGTATTGACTGAGGCACAGAGGAGGAGGAGGCTTCCTCCTGTCAGGTGTAGCCATGATATTTTCTAAAAAAATCCTTTCCTTAGGATTTTTCTCCTGAGAAGCTGAGAGGCCTCAGGAACAAAATGTAAAAAATTATTATCTGCTGCTATGGAATGCAACAGGTAGATCTGTGATTGGTCTTACAGAGTTGTTTCTAGTTAATCTAAACCAATCACACTCAGCTTGCTTGGACTCTCCGTCCTAGCTACAATCCTTTGTTATTCACTCCTTTTTCTATTCTTAGCTAGCCTTCTGATGAAATCCTTTCTTCTATTATTTTAGTATAGTTTTAATATAATATATATAATAAAATAATAAATCAAGCCTTCTGAAACATGGAGTCAGATCCTCATCTCTTCCCTTACCCTCAGACCCCTGTGAACACCGTCACATTCAGGCATAAACTTGGCCAGCACAGAAGTGTTCCATGGCTCTTTGCAGTGTGCATAGCAGGCAAAACCTGAACTAAGAACTATTGAACAACAAATAGCACCTCAAGTGACTACTTCAGAATATTTCAGCTTCCAAAGTAAATTTTTCTCTCCTTAAAACTATGATCCCTTGATTTCCTGATCCCCAGAATCATCAAAAAATGGAGATTTCATGGCATATGATTTGGAAGTGTACATTGCCTATTGAATAAATTTCCCAATGAAAAAAAGTAAATAAGGGCTTGGGCTGCATTAGATCAAGTTTAGCAGCTAGACAGCATGAGGGAGTTTCCTTGATGAATTCTGTATTTATATATATCTCCAATAATAAAAAAAAAAATCAAGGTTTTCTTTTATGACCTGTTTTTTTTCTCACTGTACTAAACAGGCTTTGCTTCATGGAATTAAAAAAACTCACTCTTCAAAATGTGTTTAATCAGAGAAAAAGCTGTAGTACCACACATGTATTGAAACAGAGAAGGATGTTTCTGGTTTTTTTGCTTTTTTTCACACCTAAAGTGATTCAATAAGGTAGTTTAAAGAGCAGCATAAGAATGTCATGCATGATTTGCTCTGACTTGGAGAAAGATGAGACGAACTTACCTCCTGAGTGGCACATGTCCCTGGAGCTCTGTGGCTCTGCTGTCCCCACAGGTGCTCCTGGCTGTTCCCCACACCCCCAGCAGAACCTGTGCTGTGCAAAGCAGACTGCCACAAGGGAGAGTGAAAACCTGCCTAGGAGCAAAAGATGTGTCCAAAACAAATGGGCAGCAGCAAGAGGTGCTGTGGGATGGGCTGGCTCCAGGGATGCCCAGAAACAACCCCAAGTTTGACTCAAGTTTCTTAGGAAGCCCTTGTTTGTCTCCTCAGCACGGTTTGGGTGCAGCAGCATCCAAAAGAGGAAAGGAAGAGAGTTGACATTTTGTTGTGACAGGTTGTGCACTCCACTTCTCTTGCACTTACAGGATGCAATCTATATTCATGAGAGGAAAAGCATTTGCATTTAAGCTTGCTTAATTCAGAAAAATTTGTGGACCACTATCCTTGCAGCATTCTGTTCCAAAGGATTATCAGAATGCTGTTCTTTGCTGCTCACCCACACCAGACCTCCTCGGGTTCCTTGGATTTAAATAAGCTTCAAGTCCTGCTCTCCACATTCCCCTATTCTTTATTTCTGTTATGTGAGCACCCCAAGGTCCCAGTCAGAATTTCAGGAGTTCCCAGGATGGTTCATACTGACATTCCCTGTCCCAGGGGGTATCTGAGCACTCGTGTCCATCACTGCAATCCAGCCCTGGCAGCACCCACAGAACCAGGGAGAATATTTAAATAACACAGAGTTTTCTGTGTGATCAGCCTGTAGCCACCACACTCTTCCAGGACCTCTGTACTCCTGTATGCCATTTATTCCTTGCCACAAAAACCAGCATCACCTTCCCACAGCAAACAGCTGAATGACACGCTTGTGTCTTCCAAATCCACACCAAAGAGCCTGGGTGGACACATCCACTGAAATACAAATCAGTTCTTGTCACTGTGATCAAAGCAAGCTAAGGGTCAAACAGGCAGTTGAATAAATTCAGGAGAAGATACTGAGATAAGTTTTATGAAAGTTTGATAGACTGACTAAACCTAATAATCTAAATATAATATTAAAAAAAAGAAAACAATCAGAAAAACAGTATTAAAAATTATTATAGATTGACTTATTTTCAATTTCCTATGACCCAATTCTACTTTTCAATTCTAAGAAATTAAGCCAGTGAATTTAACGACACTGTGGAATAATCTTAAAAGCATTCTGGGAACTTGTGTCTTAACACAGGCTTTCACCTTGTTTTCCTTGGTTTGGGGTTTTTTTAAATTATTTTTCATTTTAAACCATGTGGTTTGGCATTGGTTTTTTTTGTTTGTGTAGGTTTTTTGGTTTTGTTTTTTAGGAAAAGTAATCAGATGAATCTACAAAGTAATAAAACACTTTGGAGTTACTTTAAGTTGTTTATCCTGTCTTCATGCAGCTTGTTACAACAGACTGACTGACTCCAGCTCATCATATAGGAGACATTTTAAAAATAATTTTTAGAATTATTACCAGGATAATTCTGGTATTTTAGTTGCCAGAATTATGTGCACCATTAAATACATGTGCATAGATGCACGCTAGTAATGTATTACATGAAACAGAATGCTGTGGTAAGCAGATGTTCCCAGGATAAAGTGTATCTGATGTGCAATAACTTGTTAAACAACCTTTAAATTTGTCAAAACTATTATTTAGCAAAGAAAGGTAACTAAAAATATTACCCAAGAACTTAATGCAGCTAAAAGTTCACTGGTTTATTTCTCTTATCAAGAGTAACAGTCTGAAACATTTTACATTAATTTACAACCATCAAAAGCTCCTTGTGTTTATCTGACATAGGTGACATTGGGTAGTCCAGTTAGCACTAATCATTATCCCAAAAATTCAATCTTTTTTAAGAGGTTAAACACTTTTGAGTCATTTGTTGCCAAAACACATGATCAGTCTACAACCACACAGAAAGCAGAAATTTACATTTCTACAGAGCCGCTACCATCACTATGAAGACACAATGCCTAGTTTACAACATTCTGCAAGTTCTCACTCTTCCCAGCATTCAAGGCAGCAAAAATTCCCTCTTCACTTCTTACTGCACACAGAGGAATTACAGTAAAAGGGGAAATTTTGATCCATAATGTCACATCAAGGGTAACAGAAGTGCTTCTGGGTCATTTGCTATTTAAGTAGGAAACGAACAGGGCTGTGGAACAATGAGGATTCTTCTCTGAGAAAGGGCAGGTTTTCTCCTCAGCCTCAGTCTGTGCACACTCCTCTCCTCTCCTCCCAGCAGTAAAAATGGCCTGAGCTCATTTGTGGGGCAGGAGAAGCCAAGCTGAGATCCCTGAGGGTCCCTGTGCAGATGTGCAGGGCTGGGCAGAGCAGGACAAGGAGAGGAGGTGCAGTGTGACAACTCCAGAGCTTGGATCAGTAACTCACATACAGAGCAGCACAGCCCAGTTTCACCCATTGGAAACATCACAACTTTGGTTTCCATGAGTCCCTGCTGTGTCCCTCAGCAGCCAGAGCAGAGCTGTTCAGAGCTGCTCAGCCCCCCTGGCAAAGAGAGGAGCTGCCCTGCTTTCCCTGGCACCAGCCTGCAGCCCACAGCACAGCCCCTCTGCTGGGCTAGGCCAGAGGCCAGCACAGCACTGTCCTTTGGCCACTGGCCTGTGCCCACAGTGCCCAGCAGAGCAGGGCTGCAGCACCCTGGCCACTCCAGAGAGCTCCACAGCCTCACAGGGTGCCTGGTGGCTCCCTGGGGCTCCCTGCACTCTGCTTCTGCCATGGGGAGCCTCCAGCAGCGTGGGCTAGGGGCAAAGGGACAGCAGCACACTCCAGCAGGATGCAGCAAAGCCTCTCACCACCCCTCCTCCTGTTCTGGCATTCCTCAGCCATTCCTGCCCCAGGCACACTGCTTTGTGCCCTCTGCCTGGAGTCCCTGTCCCCTCTCCCACAGAGGCAGCAGCAGGACCCTGTTTGGGATGAAGCACAATGCCAGGAGCACACAGAGCTGTGTTCCTCCTCTCTGCTTTGCCAGCTCTCCCTGTGGCTCCTGCAGCAGCCCTGTGCCCTGCCTAGGCCATGCCCAGGGCAGCAGGGACACACAGCTCCCTCCTGGCAGCAGCACAAACCATTCCCCACCTCTGGCCAGGCTGAGGCAGCTCCTCCCCACAGACAGGAGGGGCACAGCCCCATCCTGAGGGGCTCTGCTCCCCACCTGTGGCCAAAGCCATTGTCCCTCCCTGTCACACCACGGCCAAGATGTGTCCTTGCCCCACACACAGCTCAGCAAGGCTGAGGCAGGAGCCCCATTTGCTCAGAGATTCAGAGCCCAGCTCCTGGTGAGGGTTTCTGCTGTCACACTGGGGTGTTGTTCACACACAGCAGTCAAACTCCTCGTGCCAATGCAGTGAAACCCAGCAGTTCTGGCTCCACACCCTGGAAAGGGAGCACTGGCCCTGGCTGCCCTGGGAAATGTCAGTACCGCTCCTAAGAGGGCACAGAGGGGAGTTTGGTGCCCACTGCAACCCTTGGCATGGCCAGTGGCCAAAGGACAGAAGTCACAAGTCCATTTCCAAATGGATGGGACTGTGGCTGTCTCCCTTCAGGGCAGAAGGTCCTCGAGGTGCATTACTCAGAGAATTGATTGTATGGCCAGAGGAGATGTGGGTGTGGGCAGGACAGCACTGAGACAACATTTTGATCAGCACAGATTTCCCTAGAGGCCCTCTCAGAATAGCTTTGCCTCCAATGGGAAGCACAGCCTGAGGAGAGGGACACAGAGCCTGGGAATCCTGAGGAACAATTTGCCATAGACAACTTTTTGTCTGGCTGAATCATTGCCCCTCTCCTTCTCTCCAGCCAGACAGGGAAAGCAGCTCTCCTCTGCTCCACAAGGTGCTCAGAAAAGGTGGAGAATACGACAACTGAGGCTCATACAAGAACCTTATTCAGCTTTAAAGAGTGCTGTACCAAGAGCATCATCTATGCACAGCCTGCATTTAACATGGGGCTCTGTGTTCACCTGCAGGTGCTCAGAGGGCAGAATTTTACATAACCTGGAAAATGCCTTTTGCTGTCCCAGGCCTATGCATGGGGACAGCACTGGGATTTAGGAAATAATCTGATCTGATGTAACAGTTGCAGACAGCTCAAAATGGAAATGTCCAGGGGGTCAGGGCCTGTTTTCCACTGCTGTGGTGTCCACACTTTATCCTGGTATCACTCCAAGTAAGCCAATAGGTCACTAACATGGACACTGTGTGAGCCAGACCCTGAACATGCAAGCTGATATTCAACCTTTTGCTTCATGCCACATGTAGTTCAGAGAAAAACTGCACCTTGTGCAGCTCTTGGCCTCACTGGTTTGAGTTTAAACTGTGTCAGCCTCAGCTCTGAATTTCCTGTGTAGCAAGAGAGTCATCAATCCTGTTCTCACTTTCAGTGAGGCCGAGCATGAACCCAGCTTTGTTGAGGTACCATGCATTAATGGTACCTCTTCCCAAACCACACTGCTGAGCCTGCCTGTCCTCATCAGCTTTTAGAGGTGCTGATGAAGCAACGGGGCAGAGCTCTACAAACTTCTGCTTGACGCCCTTCAGTTACAGAAACCATGGGCAGTCTCCAATTCAGGGACCCGTGAGGTATCCTTTGGTACCCAAATGGTATTATCTGGAAAGGAATCAAAATTCTGTTCACCAAAATATTTATATTAGCTGAGAAAGCCATACTCTGCCAAGAAGGGAGCTGGCCAGCTTCCCTGGAGTGTCTCTGCCAGTGTGTAAAACACAGCCCCACCTACCACAGCCCCTCTGTGCATGCCCAGGGCTGGTTCAGCCTTTAAGTTCAGTGCCAACTATTTGTAAGGCCTCAGAAATCTGGAGACTTTGGAGCGCAGCAGCCGAATGAAGGATCTCGGGAACATCTCTCTGGACTCCTGGGCTGTGTACTTGAAATAGTTCTGTGGGTGTGCCAGCACGTCAAACAGGGCTTTTATCAGCTTCTTGTCCTGGGAAAAGGGAAGCAGATTTTATATCAGCTCCACAGAGGAGTTATGGTCAGTATTACCGAAGTTTAATGCCTGTCTAACTCTAAAAAGATTATGGGGGATTTTACTTTTCAAGTGTTTAAAGGGTTTGGAAGCATAGCAGAGCAAGGCTGACTTTCAGGCTCCTGGAAAGTCAGTGGTGTTCCAAATTAGCAGCTCCAGAATTTCTTCCCTCCTCATACATCCAAGAACAGCAAACAAACCACAAAATGAACACACACTTGAGCTGATATCCAGTAAAACAAAGGCATGCACTCAACTTGCCCATGGAAGTCCCCTAACCAAGGTCAGAGAAATCCACAAAGAGATTTCTTTTGCCTAGGGAGGAAAAGCCTTTGCTAACCTACAGGCTACAAGGAGCAGCACCCAGTGCTTTCCCAATAAATTTTCAGTTTCCGTGGTAGCTCTGATCAACCTTCAGTCCCCCTGAGAAAAGGGTCCCCTATCCCCTGCTCTGCACAGCCAGGATCTGCTGGGTCACCCCATTTCCCCGGAGCAGCTCATGCCTGGTGCACCAAGGAACAGCCCTGATGTAGAGCAGGAAGCAAGCTCACTTGCACCAAACAATGTGATTTCCAATCAAAACCAACATGTTCAGTGGAAGGAATGTACCTTAAGTATTTCTTGGTGATTTTCAGATGCATAAAGTCTGCCATCCCGAACAATGTCCTCTATGAGCTCCTGGTAATCCTCTGTGGGGAATGCACAAGAGAGTCATTTGCAGCTTCACTTCCCTTACAGACTCAATACCTCCCGTGGTTACACATGGAAGCCCTGCCTCAGAAGAGCCAGTAGTACCTGACATATTAGCAGTAAGAAAATATTCCTAACGCTTTTCTTTTTATTATGAGAACAGTGTGCTCTGCTGAGCTGTTCAGCATCAATCTGTCAAAAGCAAAGGAAATCATAAAGCACCAGAGATTAGAGTGCATGTGGTAACCAAGTAACCTGCCTTAAACCAACTGAACTGCAGGGACCCATCTGTACACACCCACAGCCTGGTTATTGACGTCTTTCTACAGGAAGAAGGAATAAAAAGATTATGTAAGAGGATGCTGTCTTAAAAGTATATATCATGACCTGAAATTCTTCAAAAGGAGAGGTCTCCCCTGAAAAATTACTTTTCCACCACTAGTAAAACTCTGCAGACCAGAGCAGGGATGGCTCCCTCACAATTAATCCAGTGTGAGCAGAACATACAATATCACCTCACTTATGCTGAAGTGCAAATCCTCAGCTCCAGTTTCACACCTCGTGATTCTGACAAGGCTGAGGTGAAAATCTTTCCCCTCAAGCCTCTTTTCAATATGGGTATTTTGCTACCTGATTCTAGGCCACAAATGGTAGCAGGAACACCATAAAACACAGGTACTTGGGCTCTACCTAATTCCTAACTGGGGCCACCCAAAGAAGATGGAAAGGCACAGAAGTGCATGAAACTTAGATTCTATGTCTGAGCTCTGTAATTTGCAGGCCAGAGCCCAGAACCCCAGATTTTTGTTTGGAAGACATGGTGGCACTTCAAAGACTGCAGTGCACTGCAGAATTCCTTAGATTAGGTTTAAATGGACCAGCTCCTAGTGACACGGCTGGGCTGCCCTGCTGCTTAGGGAGGGGAACCCTGCCCTGCTGCAGCTGCACCACACCAGCCCAGCTGCTCGCTCCCACTCACCATCATAGGTCACATAAGGGACCTGGAATCCCTTGGCACTGTTCCCTTCATTGGACTTGAACTGGATCCAGAGTTTCTTGGACCTGGAGGTGAAGGCTATGGGGCGCTCGTAGGTCTGGCAGGTCTCGTACGTGGTCACCGAGTTGGAGGAAGCTTTCAAAGCAAAAGCACAACAGGCAGCTGTGGGACAATACTTCTTGCTACAGGGTTGTTAGAGCTGTTTTCTGTTACCACCAGAAAATGCTTGCTGGTGTTAAGAAAACTCCTCAAAATGTGGCGGGCCATCAGTGGATGGCAGGCCCTCAATGAGGGACTTCTTGGTGAGGGAATATTTTCCTTTTTTCTAAAATAACAGTCTACTGTTTGAAGGACATGCCTACACTAGAAACTGAGATTGTTTATCCACACATCAGGCACCTGTAAGGATTAGCAAGCATTTCCTCTTTCCTAACCCAGGCTAGAACTGCTTAGCATAATGCATGACTGGTTAGCTTGAACCACCTACCCCTTCTTAACAATATTTCTCTCAGTTCACTGGCACATCATGGCCTTGTACCCTCTGAATTTCACTGAAACCTATGGGGCAGCATTGCCAAATAGGACTTCTTCATTTGCCATTTAAAGAAATTTCTGCTTTTAAATAGATGCTAGGCAGACTACATTGAGTTTCTGCAAACAGCAATGCCTGTGTTTCACGCTGTGTTTCCCCCCGAGCTGTGCCCCAGTGGGTGTTCCAGACTCACAGCTTTTCCTCATCACCAGGTAGTCTCCACACTCGTCCTCGATGGGCAGGAATATTTCCGGGACCACGATGAGGATGCGGCGCTTGGGCGGCGGGTTGATGCTCCAGGTGCACTCGGTGTTTGCAGGGTAGTCCCCAGGGTAGTTGGGTGATTCAATGTACCCAGTGTAATCTCCCAGCTCCCCTCCACACTGCCTGTCTGGAAAAGGAGCACACAGTGCAGGACAAGGCAAAGAGAGGCCGCCCTGCAGCCCTCCTGCAGCCACGGGGGGCAGACACACATTTCCCTTTCTGCATCTGCTGCAGGTACAGCTCTCCTTGCCAGCCTCTCACATCCCTGTGTGGGTGTGTTTACAATGTGTGTGTGTGTGCAGGCACTCCAGAGCTGGTTCTGAGCAGTCACCTCTCTGCCCTCCATTCTCCCTCCTTAATTTACCCTCAGTTACCACAAATCCAGAGCAGTGGCTCCCTTTGTAATGGACTCCTTCAAAGGTTGTTATTAACAAGAAATGGGGAGAAAAGTTTTAATAGCACGACCCCGAGCAACCTAGCACCAAGTGGCAAAACACAGCCATCCCTTACCTTGACAGGGCTGATGGAACCAATCTGCAGAAATGGTGTCTCACAGACCTCAGTGAGCCATGTGGGGTGAGATGCAGGCAGCAAAAAAGGAGCAAGCTCTGCCTTCTCTCCAGCTCCCTGGAGCAAAGCTGAGTTTTGCCCTTAGGCCCACCCCAAACATTAATGGCCTGGTCTTTTAATTTGTAAGAGAGCATCAAAACCATCTTGCTGTACTTACTTTTGCACTGTGTTATGTTTGTTGAGCCATCAAAATCAGTAGTGGTGTTTCCAGGGCAGGCAATGCAGTAATTTTGTCCAAACTCAGGCTGGTATGTCCCGATTGCACAGCGAATACATCGGTGGGTTGAGGTGTTGTAAAAATGGCCAGGAGAGCACTGAACTGGACAGTAATTAAATAATCATGGTTTAAAAGTGGAAGCAGCATACCAGAATATGCTTTTATACATTTGTGCAAGACCTAGTGTCATCTCAGAAAGTGAAATATCCTATTAGTAAACTGTGGGGGTAACAAAAAAGAGGTAATTAAGCAAATTTTAGTTCATCAGGTTATTCTGTGCAGGTTCAAATTTCCCAAACGAACACTGTAGAATGGTTCTGTGTGAAAGCAGCAATAAAACCACAGTAATAAACAATGAGAGAAACAAAACAACTTCAGTTTATCAGGTTATTTTGTGCAAGTTGCAAAGGTCTACTAGCAAATGTAGTTTTCTGTGCTGCACAGTCTCTTTTTTTCCTATTCATTTTAAGCTCTGCTTACTCCCAAATAATTCTTGCTGAGTTTTGGAAGCTAGCTCAGCCAGGAGTCCTTCCCTACATGCTGCCCCAATCCAAATGCTTCAGATAAGCTCCAAATAGTTCTTGCATCTGTGATTCCACGTCTCATGTGGCCTCTTCCACATGCAAATTCCTGAGCTCTTCATTCCAGTTAATAGAAAGAATTCCTTTAATCTCCACTCCAATTTGAAAACTGAACCTCATTTATAGACTTGTTTTTGTTTATGTTAAATTAAACTGAAATCAGTTCCTCTTATCTTGATCCAGAGTTTTAACATCATTTTTTAGTACTTCAGTTTCACAAAATTAAGTATGAAAAGGCAGTCTTTGTGGGTTCAGTGGTTCTACACTGAGGGAAAGTATTAGATATCACACTACTACCAGCAATATTAATTCTTCAATGATACTGCTAAATTCTTACAATATGTTGCAATTCTCAGTAAACATAACTGAAATGAGAGATCTCTTAATCCAAACCACTACCAAATGTTTGCATCAGGACCTTATTTCTACCCCTTATTTCTGTGTACTTGAGGTAGTTCTGCGGGTGTGCAGAAAATATACTCTGCAGCAGTAGATTTTCTGTTAAAGACTTTGTCCTCTAGTGATTTATATAAGCAATTTTCTTTTACCCATGCTTTTGGCAACCAGTTTTAGAAAGAACTGAAACTGAATTTCCTCACAGCCAGGCCAGGCCATCTTGCTGTGAGATTCCTGCAAGGACTGACCCTCAGAAGGAGAAAGAGCCTTCTCTGAATGCCCCACCTGAGCAGCAGCATTTCCTTTTGCCGCGGGCCAATGCAGTTCAGACAAACCCGGCTCACCTTTGGTCTCACAGTCCTGGAACAAGGCTGCCCCGCTGTGCCTGGTGGTGAGGGCTCCTCCACAGGGAAAGCAGGACACCCTGCCAGCCTCGGGCTGGAACGTGCCCAGGGGACAGGGCAGGCAGGGCTTGAAGCCATCAGCAGAGTATTCACCAGGGGGGCACTGATCTGCCATGGGAGAGCACACATTAGACATGAAGGAGTGTTGGAGCCTGCACAGGACCCACAGCCCCACGGGGAAGCTGTTCTGCTTTGCAGGGGCAGCTGGAGCAGGGATCCAGAAAAGAATGCTGGCAACACCTGGAGCTTCACACCCCCAGTGTGCACTGTGACAGCCCTTGGGGCTGGGGAGCTCTTCGGGGAGCTGGGATGGATTTCACACCTTGTGCAAGGCCACACTGGACACCCAGCCTGCCCAGGGCTCCCTGCTCCTCTGGACAGTGCAATGATGGAGTGATTATCTCCTCATTCTGGCTAGAGAGCTCTTGAACTCCTTCCAAAGGAAACAATTTAGCATTGAACCTAAGATGCCAAAAACATACTTCCAGATTTCTGTTCAATCTTATTATTGAACATTTATATCTCATAACCATTAGTATTACTAATTGTGTGAAAAGCAACAAGTAATTGTGCAAATTCAGTAAACCAAACATTATGCCCCAAAGACTTTTAAAGCAGAAATACTCTTGTCATTCCTTTGATAATCTTGGGTAATGGTTATCTGTGCACTGAGCTGCTGTGTTCTGTATGGTGCACAGACAGCACTAACCCAATCTAACTGATTTTCCTTCATCACACACCTCAGTATTATCCAGCAAGCCCAGCAATATTCATGAGTATCTTTGAGAAGTTCTGGTTTTCAAGCTCTTCACAAAAGAACTGGCTTCAGTGCCAGCATTTAATAATTACCCTGCTCTGGAAAGGCACAAAACACTGTTGCAGTTGTTCAGCTGTGCTGAAAAACTCTGTCCTTTTAAGACCTGTTACGATAATAAACTGTTAGTTTTAGTTTATAGCTCCAATAAATCACTCAGTGAATAGCTGTTTTGTTAGGAAGTTAAATTGGCCTTGGCTTCATTTCAGGATGTATGAGTAACAACAAGCAGGGCATTAACTACCGGTCATGATCAATGATGAAGAGTTTTGTTTGTGGCTGATACACCAGGAGGAATCGCTGGGTGCTCCTCCTTGGCTTAAAAATAAAATGCAGCAGGTTAAGCAATGCTCTGTGGCTTATCAATGAGAGCTTGTGAGCAAGTCTCAGCTCCTGGTTCTAACTTTTTCCACCACACATCACTCCTGCCCTCATAAGGACACACATTCATTTGCTCCCACACTTTTCAAGCCTTTCTCCATTTTATAAACATTCCTACAGAACACTCATCTCTGTACAATTTGTGCACTTCCACAAACATGAATGAATTCAGGCTTTCATTGCAGCACTCCTAATAAGGTAAGGAAAGAGCACTATTTACAATTCCATGACGAGGAAAGACAATTCAGGGTTAGGAAAGGTGATCCTGAGAAGTGCCTACTGACTTCAGAAACCTGGAGGAAATGGAAAGACCTGAGCAAATCTTCCCTCATACAATTCCATGGCTCCATGGGAAATCAGTGCTCTGAGTGGCCTGGCTGGAAAATATCAGCTTGTCTTTTTCCATTCATTTTAATTACATGTCAAGTTTGGGGATTTTTAGGTTGGTTCCTTTTTTTTTTTTTTTTGCATTTGGGAGAAGGGATATCTCTGTTCTGTGTTTTCAACAGAAACACTAACCCTACAAATTCAGGCTTAAAACTGTACTTCAAGTTTCCTGAACTTGCTCAGAGTCCAGCAGAACATCCATCAGAGCTCAAAGGAATCCTGTCCCAGGCAGGAATCAAACCCACAGCTCATGTGCAAATGTTGCATTTGAGAACTTATCCCATCAGATCTCTCTTGACAACTTTGCCATCTGCATCTTACATGTCTTGAAACCACATGTTGGGAAAATTGTGGAGCTCCCTGTGGAATACAACTGAGTTAATCTAAATCTTCTTGGGTTACTTAACAAAGTGCCTAATTTTTGAAAATTTGCATTGCGGAAGTAAACTTAAAAAAACCCACTCAGACACCACTGAGATTCTCCATCTGGGCCAAAGGAGAACTTGTCCATTAAATCAGAAGCATTTGAGTCAAGTGTTTCCTTCTGATTTTCCTAAGAGAAAGAAACAAGGCTGTCTAGCTACCACCACTGCACCAGGGTGTTCAAAGCTGAAAAAAGCTCTGCCTTCTGAGACACACCAAACACTTCAGGCTTTGATTGATCCTCTGCATTTGAGAAAAGAGGTCAGTACACCCACATACAGATTTTGCTATTTACAACCAAACAACTACTCAACATCCAATATAAATATTGGAATTACTCCATGCCATATCCAAGTTTTAATGCCTCAAACTCACAAATATTTCTGTTTCTTCACGTGACTACATCAAATCAAGCTTTTCACAGTGGTACAAGTGTCCAGACAGTTCGATCCATAAACACATTCCCTGTAAACTGCCCCCAGCTCCTCCTCATCCTCCACCTAGAAATGTTTCCCTCATCCAGCCCCAGTGGAGCACAGAGCTGGGGGAGTGAGGAAAGGCTGTTTAGAAGCTCACAGCAGTCACAGGGGCTCAATTTAGCATAACAAATAAGACTTAGTGTTAGATTCAATTATAGTAACATTAATAATAGGGCTGTTATTTCAACACAGAAATCATCCAAACTCTATAGGGCTGTGCATAAAATTAGGATGAACCTTCTCTTAAAAAGAAGCCCAACAAAATTAACAAAAAACAAAAATCCACAAGAAACACCTCTACGAAGTTAAACTTCTCCAGATATTTGCTTAAAGGAAACAAGTACAGAAGTTTGTGAGCTTCAATTCTGAAAATTAGAAACTGCATGTTCCCACCTGCCATGTGGGAAATACCCAGTCAGAACCAGATCTGAAGATTTGCAAATAATGACATTAAATCACAATTCCACTGGCTGGCTTTGCTCTTTTTTTCCAGAAACTTGATTGTTTTTTCCCCAAATGAACAAAAGAACCAATTGCCTCTGGTAGACTTCATTTCTGCAGCCGCTGTCTTTGTTTATCTTCAATGCCCATTAAAAACCTGGTCTTGAGTCTCATGCAGCTGTTTTAAAGGGGGAAAAAAAGTGAAAGCTTTTCTGATGCAAAAACAAAAAGAAAAGGGGGGTGGGGGGGGAAGAGAGGGGCCCACAGGGAACCAGGATTAACAGTTACAAAGACATTTAAAGGTTCTTCCCCTCTTTTCAGCACATTAGCCTTTGAGCATTTGCTCCTATAGACAAACGCCGTATCTCAGGGGCTGAGAAGGTGAACCTCATAAAGGAGGTCATGATCCACCAATTCACCATTTTCTTAAGAATGATGCCTTGACTTTATAAGGAAAATCACCAACAAGTGATGCAAATTGATTCTGAAGCGGCATCCTTTAAGTTATTGTGTTTGAGCAGGTCACACATTTAGGTCACATGAGATGGTTTCGCATCCCAAGGATTTATGTCTTGAGTCTATGATTTTCAGGGCAAGCAGGTTAGCAGGAAAAACAGCCCCCTTTTCCCCCATTTGATAAATTCATTTCTTCTTCTTCTTGCATTTTCACAAAACTGTAAGAAAATACTCACAAAAAACAGCAGTTGTGCAACACAACTATTAATTATAATGACTGCAAAGGCAGGCAGCACTTTGATTTTCCTTTTAGATACCTCTCTCATACTTTTATAATGCCAATATCATACCACACACAAACCTTTGAGACGTGGTTCATCATTTTGGATGAAATGTTATTATCTTATTTGCATCCTCTCAGTTGAGGGGACAAAGCTGCTGAATGCTGAGCAACAAAATGCACTGACACCTCCCACACAAGATGAAGCTGCTCATCATCCCCATCCTGTGCCAGTGCGGCTCATGGCTGCTGCTCTCTGAGGTGACAGCCCTTTGGGGAAACCCACTTGCAACTGCTGTGGAGCAAAGATATGCTGTCATATCCTTTCTTGCATCCATTTCAGGGAATGGTGATTCTCAGAGCCTCCTGTCAACTCTGGAAGTATTGGTGTGACCAACACAATAAAAAAAAAAAAAAGACATACAAAAAAAAAACCAACCAAAAAACACAAAAACAAAAATATAGATCAGGCAAGGTGTGCTTTTGACACCATGGGATGTGATCAAGGTATGACAGAGTTTTAAGCAGTGCAAGAGCAGCTAGATTGCTTGTTGTTCGAACTTATTTTCTTTCAATACAGAGGTTTCTGGTAAATCACTTTCTGAAAAGGAACTGGCAGTATTTAAACACTCGGTCTTTGGCTGTTAAATCTCTCTGAAGTCAAGCTCATACTGGACCAGGAGTACTTCTAGCCAGGCTAGAGAGTGAGACTGCATCCTCCCCAAGACAAATCTCCTCTCAAGGCAGCATGCAGCATTTCCAGCATGCTCAGAGGGCTCACACACAGGCTTGGTGCACTGACATTCCAAAATGGATCTTTGTTACCTTAAGATCTACTTCAAGGCAGAAAAATCACACTTCTGCTAGGAGAATCCAGTTCTCTGGGAAGGCTGATGAAGGTTCCATGTTGCAATATGCATTTCATGGGATATCCATGGTTATGGGCCTATCACTGGTTGCTCCTTGGAAGCCACACTCAGGACTTCACGGGATTAACCAACACAAGCCAGTGCCAAATGGGCTCATCATAGATACAGAACTCACACATAAGAAGGTAGAAAAGTGCAACATCTGAGCCCCTAAAGCATCAGAAAATCCCAAACAAAACTGTAAAATAAACAGCAAAGTTGAAATAAACCACACTATCTCTTGCAATCAGCAGTGAATTCCCTTTTACCACAAGCAGATGTTTAAAGAACAGCACGCACACAAGTGCCAGCATCCAGCATATTAACAATGATAAAATATCCTGGAAGCCACACGCAATGTGTTCCTGGTGTCTTTCTAATGCTTTTCTTCTCTACTGTGCACCACTCAAGACAATAGGAGTCAAGACAGGAAAATCAGGGATAGAACTACCTTACCAGAAATGTGAAACCAAATGAAATTTATCTTGCTGCTGCAATTGCAGGCCAGTTACCCAGCACAAAAATTGTCAGAACAGGAGTTTGACTCTTCCTCTGACACTGCTCAAATACAAATAATGTTTCAGACAGTGCTGTGCCAGGGGAATTCTACAAGAGGACCAAAACTATAAGAAGACCAAATACTCCAAGTATTTGAAAACAATGAACTAAAACCTGCATTTTACTCAGTAACTGCATCAAAGAAGACTTGTAAATCCCTTTGGCTTGCTTTGTTCCCTCACTGCTTCCTACTCCTCTGGCCAGTCTCAGCCAAAGTCCATTGCTGTCCAGAGGCTGCATCCACCACCTGCCCTGCATCCATCTCCTGACCAGTATCTCCTGCTGTGCAGCCTCTTTCTCCCCAGAACCACCAGCCTGTCTAGGTAAGCAGACCCCAACCCCATCCAGAAGCAGCTCTGCAAAACAATCAGATCAAAACAAAGGAACAAAACCAAAATTCCCTCTCCCACACAGATCCCTGAACCAGCTTCTTGCCTTTCTCTACACTATTCCCACTCTATTCTCCTCTGCCCAGCCTGTTTCTTAGCTCCTTCTGCCTGGCAGCCCAAGCAGCAGCAGCCCCCAGTCCCACCTTAGCCATTCACCCAGGGACAATCAGCTTTTCCAGGGAAATGAGGCATTCCTAACAATTCTCTACTTTTATGTCCTCTCAGCAACTGGGAGCTGGCTGCCCAGCTCCAGCAGCCTGACAAGTGGTGTAGGAGGTGTCAAAGATGCTAATTTTCTGTACATTTAGTGAAAATAAGCAGGGGAGCAAGTGCAAGGAGAGAGCCCTCACATCAGTGTAAGGGAAAGGCTGTGGTGTGAGTTCCACCTCCTGTTTGATCCCAGGGAATCTCCACAAGGATTTGGTCTGAGTGACTCGGCTGCAGAAAGGGAGGTTCACTGAGGCATTGCACCTTGTCAGGCACGAGCAAACCCAGCCTGAAGGCATGAGATACACAGGGCCATTCCAGTGCTCACAGCAGCCCTGTTGGGGTGCCCAGAACAAACTGAGGCACCAATTCAGCATCAGAAGAGGCCTGACTTGCGCAAATTGTTCTTCAAAACCTTTGTCTTCACATGCTCAGTGGCTCTGCTTTAACCATGGGCAGGCTGATTGGGCTCACCCCACCAAAGAGCTTTCTGGGCAGGCCTTGCCCAAAATTCTCTTTTCTCTCTGAACTAGCACAGAAATGCCACGTATGCTTCTCGTTTGTGCTGCGACATTAAACTGATTCTGCAGCTATCTAAAAAAAATTGTGTTTCTTTTCCGTTCCAATTTCTAATTGTAATTCACATTGCCTTCTCCACCTGCAACATTTTTAGCTTGCTCATCGCTGTTTTTTCCAGATGAAATCACAAATATCTTCAGAGTCATACTGTGCTCTGCACAATTGGAATGACAGATTTCTTCAAAGCCTTTCTCTAGCATCCAGCAAAATAGCTTGAATATATCCTTGTAAACTCATCTTGGTGAACTTTCCAAAATTTTTAGATTTATTGCAATGTTCCAAGAAAGAAAAAAAAAAGAATTCTTAGAGCTTTTTCTGAGATTTCCTGAGTAATTCCCTGCTTGCTTGCACAGATGTTTTAAACAATTTGTCTGTTCTATGAACCCAAGTTTTTCTAGAGTTAGCAAAACTGGATTGGAAAATCTATTCTTAGGCCAAATGCTGGTGATGGAAGACATACTAATTCACTGTGACAAGCATTTTAAAGGCTTGCTGATTCACAATCCACCTACAGGCTGCCTGCCCCGTGCAGCCTGAATTGGCTGTCATGGTTGTTAGGCCGCTGTGAGGATGTAACATCTGACCCCTCTCCTCAACTTTTGTGCTTTGGAAGAACTTACCATGGGCTGCATTATGGTGGTGCCCTCCAGTGCCATGATAATTAAGACTTTTCTCAGTGATGGCCAATAAAATCCCCATGAATTTCTAACTCTGTCAGGGAAACTCTCTGGGACTCTGAGCTTAATCAGCAAAGTGAGTGTGACTGTATCAAATTCTGAGCAGCATTTTCCTTGGGACGAGGGAGAGGTGAGGCTGTGCACAAGCTCAGGAACACAGCATTACCAAATTATTACTAAATTACTAAAGCAAAGTAAAAGTAGTCTTAAAAGTAACATTGGTGATGTCAAGGCCATTGGTGCCTGATGTTATTCCCAGGATTTCCGCCTTTGAGCTCATTGCAGGCTGGGCCTCAGCTGTAGTGCAGTTCAGTGAGCCCTCGCTCTGCTCTGTAACACTTGAATTGCCAACAATAAATGCACAGGGAGAATTCCAGTAGCACCTCCACTTCTGCACACCCAGCCCTGCTCTCTCCTGGATGGGTGAACCCCGATCCCTCCGAGCTCCAGGCCTGAGCAAAGCAGGGAGCACGGGAGGCGCTCCATCCTCCCCAGCTCCCTCCCAACTCACCACATCTGAGCCCCGGGTGCAGCTGTCCCCCACCACAGGCCTGCTGCGGCTCTGAGGGCCTGGGAGCCCTCCTGGCCACCTCGTGGTCAGCGCCCGAGAGGCGGATGCGGAACTGGTCCCTGCTGACGGTCTTGCGCAGGGTGCGGATGGTTTTCCGGAACCGCTTCTCCGTCTTCTTGCGGGCGCAGCGCACGTCGCACGTGTCTGAAAAGCACCGGGGGTGAAAGGGGTGCCCTGAGTGACTGTGCACAGATCCCACCCAATTCCAATCACCAACCAACTCAAACCACTGAGACAGCCACCTCTGGGAACAAGTGTGAAATCCTCAAGGACAAATACACTGGGCAGCTCTTGGGTCTTTGGAGCTATCCCCATGCCTCACTCTTTCTGAAGCAGTGAAATAATGTTCAAAACAGGAGATACTTTTTATCATCATTTTGCATACAGGCAGAAGCGAAAAATACAGGAATTAAGGAGCAAATGGCAAGAAGCTTCAAAGCGCACCTGGAATTATTTCCCAACCAACCTGTCACCTCCTTCCGGCTCGTCTCAAGCTCAAAGTCCGCGGTGATAAAAATCTCTCTGGTCGCTGCCAGTCTACTGAGGGCTCCAGGGACTTTCTTGCCAGAGCTGCATGTTAGGTTTACATAGTGGAAGCTCTCCATTACTGAATTTTGTCTCTCTGCACGAACAAAATCAAAGGAACCAAAAGCTTGGCCAGGTGTGTTATTGAACGTTCACCGGTGGGTCATCAGGAAGAGTTAAAGAAGAGCAAACCATCACCTCCACTGGCCAGTGAAAGAGCAGTTTGGCCAGGCTCTCACCTGGTGCACCCTCACAGAATCATGACCATTCTCATGGCTTCAATAAGGAAATAAGGTTTAGGTAAAGGAAACACCCAGAATAAGCTCTGGTTCTGGAGTACATAACTTGTCACTGAGCATTCAGCACAGTTCCTCACTGTTACTCTGCTAAGGACAAACAGTCAGACATACTGATTCATCATATTGTTTAATGACTCCTTTCTCCATTTTTTCTTTTATTTTTTAAAGTACTCCTACTAATTTTCTGCTGACTTGGTCAATTCCCAGCCTATTCTTTCTGCTTTGGAGCAGATGGAAGAGCTGACCCCACTGCATCCATCTGGGGCTGCTGAAGAGTGAAAGGAAGACAAGAGACAAGAGGAATAACCCAATGACAATAGAGTCAGCATAAAGGTCAGGAGATTTTTCAACGAGGCACCAGACAGCAAGGAGCAGGTGAGAAAGGAAAGAAGAGAAAGATAAAAAGAAGAAGAGAAGGAAGGAATCAAATTTTTTAAAAGTATGGTTGATTTTACTGAGAACTTATCAGCAGCATTACAAACAAAAAAACAATAAGGCCTTTCCTAGCAAGACTGTGAGGATGGCACAAGGAAATCCTGGGATCTGAAATAACTGTTGCAAGAGACATGGCCAGGCAGGAAGAAGTGAAGAACAGAAAACCTTCAGTCCTCTATGCTTTGCTTGTGGTGTACTTCATATCTGGAAAGCACTTAACCCCTGAGCTTTGGCTCTAACCTGCTTACCTGCATTTTTATATCCATACCTGGTATCATCTGCTCCAGACCTTCTTGAAACATCTCAGTCTTTTTCAAACTACATTTTCCTTCATTTAATTTAAAGGTTACGCTTATCTTGATGGCTGAAGCATCTTCAGGAAGAAACAATGAAACACATTATTTTACAAAAAGGAGTAGAAAATTGAGATAGCCCTAATGCCACACCACAATGATGACTAAAAAAAATACAAAGTGATTTGATTTTTCACTGATATGAAGTGATCATCACAGAAAACCTAATGAGATGTCAGAACTCTCCTGCTGTGAAGCTGGTTCACAACTGGAATTAGAATGATGAGTAGTACATTTTATTAGGGGGCAAAAAAAAGTGAGAGACAGAGAAAGACCAGATCTACTATTGGGTGAATTAAACAAGGGTGAGCTGAAATCAAAGGAAATACTCCAAATCATTTCAGAAAATAGTTTATGTCTATGGCTGTAAATGCCTTCTAAACTTTACAGTCCAACAGCTCAACCTAAACACATTGTGTGTTGCCAACACTGTCCAGGTGTGGAAGACTACAAGGAGACATAATTCCTGGCCTAAGTGTTTATTTCACTTTTTCTTTATTTTTAAGTCTCAGTGTGAATGATGCTGATGAAGCAGTATAAGTGGAATTTTCTGCAGCAATCATGAACTACAATCATGAGGAAGAAAAAGAGCAATAGATTATAAGAGGAGGGGGAAAGTCAAGAGAAACTTTGTTTCACAGTTATCAAAGAAAATAAATCAGTCAAACTATGTAACAGTAAATGTGGTGATTACCCAGCCAGCTGGAAGCATTTGCACTTTGCTGCTTTTTCTTAAGCTGAGAGGACCTGCCACAGGTGAGGGTGTAGGCATCTTGTGTTCCTAACAGACAGACAGACAGACAGTAAAACACAGGCACAGTGCACACACTGAGGACTCCTGCAGCACAAAACACATTTTGAATTTGTTGACTGGCATCAACACACAATGTTGTTCATAAAATACTCCACATTAGAGCTTGTCTCTTCCTAAGCCATTCAAAGGATTCAGGAAAAGAGCATCAGTGCCACAAGCAGCACTGAGTCCTGAGGGATGGAGGGGCTGTGTGGGCAAAATCCCAGACCCCACGCAGGGCTGGAATGCCTTGGCCCCATTCACCAGTGCCTCTCAGGGCCAATTAAGGAATGGCCCAGGGAGCACAGAGAATTCTCCCCTGTCCTCCCCAGCTTCAAAAAGAAACCTGTTGTGAGAAGGGAATCTGAGGGTAGAGTGTGGTTATAAAAGACAAGGAAAAAGGGGCTTTCCTGGACACTGCCAGGGATACAGCCCTTTATTATCTGCAGTGAAAGAGGAGAGATCTCTGTTTATTGACTGTTTCTTGGGGCTTTCCTGACAGGGAGGAGTTTGGCCTCCCCTACACTGTGTACAGAGCCACATGCTCAGTTCTGTCAGCTCTGACTTACCAGAGAACACCTGCACATCTGGAGAGCAGCTCAAAAAGCATCTGTCACTCCCACCACTCTTGATGCAGTGCAGCAGCACCTTGGGTGACACACTATCAGACAAGGGATCTTTTGTCTCTGAATAGGATAAAACAAACACTCACAGGATTAAAACATCCACCTTCACCCTACCAATAAATCAGCATGCAGCTGCTTTTATAGCCAGCACCTGAGAGCACCCATGCAATTAATATGCTGCTCAGACAGAAAATTCAAGCCAAATAAAATCACTGGAAGATCACACCACAAGAGAAACTTCCTTTATCATGAGCAAGCCTTCTCATGCAGAGGAACAACAGGAAATAGAAGAACGAGCTACATAAAAGCACAGGAAAGAAAGCATCAAAATCCCTCAAAGTATCTCCTGTTTTTGGGGTTGGTTTGCTGTTTGTTTTCATGAGTTTCAACATCACTACCATCATGCCTTGCTAAAAATTAAAGCAGAATACCAGGAACAATGACTCACACCACTTAACTGGACAGACCATCAAATTTGACTGTAACCACATGGCCCACCAGACACATCAGGAGCAGAAATGTATTTATTAGACACCTTACCAACACAGTCCTTTTTATTCCAGTGCAGCTTGTAGTTAGGCTGGCACAGGCATTCATAATCTCCCAGTGTGTTCACACACAGCTGCTGGCAGCCACCATTGTTGATGCTACATTCATTTATATCTGCAGAGAAAAGGTAAAGATGCTTTTAAAAAGTTGCTCTTCCCAAAGTTATGCACTGCAATTCCACCAGGTAAATGTGGACACAAAAACTGCTCAGTAGGGTCTTGAAGAGACTTCATGAATGCTACCTGGACGCCCAGTTTCAAGAGAAACAGTTTGTCTTCATGGAAATCCCTTGGTAAATGTCAGACCAGATACTGGTGGCTCATAATTAAACAATATCCAGCCTCAGCAATATGATAACAAATCAACTCTAAGAAAAGCAGATCAAGTCAAATCTCTGTTTCACTGTGTCGAGTTAATTAAAATTTCTAATTTTAAATACAAACAGAGAACAGGGCAGGATTCACACTGACCAATCCTCCAAAGTGCTCTGATACATGCAACTACTGTGAAACACTTTGGCTCTGTGAGCAAACACCACCATTGTGTGCGCCTTGTCTCTTTTGGCCAAATATCCAATTTTGGAGCCTTGTCCTGCCCAGGAAATGCCAAGAGGAGGAGAAATTTTTGCCAGCGCAGCACATGCTGCCTGTGGTGCACCCTTGCATGCTGCTGCAGGATGCAGCATTGGGCAGTGCTGCATGCAGGGTCAGCACTGGGGCCAATGCAATTTATCCTCCTCATTAAACCTGCATGGTGGGACAAGAGTTCACCCTCAGCAAGGTCACAGATGAGACAAAACTGGGAGGAGTGGCTGATGCACCAGATGGTTGTGCCACTATTCAGAGGGACCTTGACTGCCTGCAGAAATGGCTCAATGGGAATCTCATGAATTTCAACAAAGGGAAATGCAAAGGTCTCTGTCTTTGCTGCTCAGATGCACCCTGAGGAGGGCTTCCCTTCTCTCCCAGGGCTTTATGGCAATTGTACATAAACCCAGAAAGCTGCCATCAGGAAACCTGATCCAAGTCCTATCACATTTGTGCATCTGAGGGTATGCTTCCACACACACTTATCTCATTGCTAGAAAGTTCTTGTCACTGCTGTCCCCAGACTGGACACCCTCTAAGTGACAATTTGTTACAAAACACTGTGAAACACATTACAAAACCAGTCCGATTTGGGGGGGGAATGTGCTTTTAACAGAACTGGAACAGCAGAGGTAGGAATAAGCAGCAGAGGAATAATGGAGAAAGAAGGCAACACCTTTAACTGATACTGCTACCTAAAATACCACAAATTTTGTTTTCATTGACCTTTTCTTATGATTTCAACCTCCTATCTCCAACACTTATTGACTTTTCCCACAGAAGTCAGAAGGTGCTTTCTCAGAGTCCTATCAGCTCTGACCAGCCTGTGATTGCCAGTCAATGAGGGACTTACTGTGGTATGAGAATTAATTAACATCTTCTGCACAGGTGTATGACAAGAAAAGGCCAATTAGCAGCCACAAGCAATATTACAGCTCCTTTTCCTCACTGGTAGCCAAAACAAATTGAATTAATGCAGAGGAATTAAACAGAAGTTGTCTCCTACTAAGTAGAGCACATGACAGTGCTATTCCTTATGTGGATAAGTTTCCGTGTTCATCAGGATAAAACATGGTGATGATGTAGCTCTGTAATCTTATTTGCAGAATTTCTAGAGGCAGAGGGTAGAACAGACAGGCACACAGGGATTTCTGAATTGTTATCTCCAACTGTTCTCATTCTGCCTGAGAAATAAACAGGTCTTAGACAGAATTTAGTAAACTTTGGACTCAGTAAGGTCTTGCCTAAAGCTTATATAAAGCAAGCTTGATTCCATTTAGTGTCCCAGTTATTCATGTTTCCTCATGTTAATTCTGGGAATTTGTCAAATGTCAAGCTTCTATGAACAACTTGCTCTTTCCTTGTAGGAAAGACATAAAAATTTAAGAGTATTAATCTTGGCCAGCGCAAAGTAGCACTACATCAGCTAAATTCCAGCCTACATCACATGAGGATCTGACACGTGCACCTGCAGAATTGTAATTTTCAGAGTCATTCAGAGCTTCCTGTTCAAGCCCTACTCCAGTGACTTTTCACTGAAGTCAATGATTCTTCTGCATGTGAACATTGAATTATGGACTTCAGATCCAAGCACAAAACCCATCAGTTTCTCCTAATAGCTACAGGTCCCATTTGCATGCAGGGCGTGAAGGCAAAAATCACTTCAGCAAAGCCAGAAACGAGCAGGATCAGTGTCTCCTTTTCATTATCGCAGCAAGGGGCAACATTTCCTCCGTAGGACACCTGGGTGTGCCTCAGTGTGTGTCCTGCAGGGCAGGGGGAGGCTGTGCCTGTGCCAGGGCTGTGCCTGTGACTCACCTCCACAGTGGGTGAAGCCATAGAGGGCATATCCCTTGTTGCAGGAGCACTGAAAGGTGCCGGGCTGGTTGGTGCACGTGTGGTCGCAGGCGCGCTCGAAGGAGCACTCGTCGATGTCTGCAGGGGACAAAGGGACAAAGGGGACAGAGGGACATCAGCACCCCCCAGGCTGCCCAGGGAGCCCTGAGAGCCTGCAGCTGAAAACTCTTATTTCATTGGGATTACTTTACTTAGAAATTAAAAGTATTGCCTCTGGTTTTTCCTCCCTAAATGAAGTTCTATATGAATATACAGCGCCTGATTTAGGTCTGCTGAAAATCACAGTGCTCCCTGAGAATGCACCATCAAAAGCACCTAAAATTTACCTTACCATCAAAAGCACCTAAAATTTCTGTGCTAGTATATTTTGCATGCCAGGTAAGAGCGTTGCAAGACACAAAAAAAATTCACATCAACTTCACTAGCACTTTTCATCAGCCTTTTTTCTTGGGCTTTGGCATGAAGCATGATATCACTTCTGAAACAGCCTAGGGAAAGCAACAGAAGTGACAGGGACAAAAGGGAGATGGAAAGCTTTAAGACACAGTCATAAACAGATTTCATTTAAATAAAACCCAAAAAAATCTCAAAAATCAGATGTTTATACAGTAAGTTTTTTCCATATAAATAGTTGTCCTTCTTTGCCTATTTACAAGGCATAAGAATGCACAAAAAAACTCAGGTGAAAATTACTTTCTCTTGGTCAGTTCAGTTTTCTGAAATGCACCTTTAATGTCATCTGGTTGCCTAGGAAATCACATAATTCACCATTTGGCTGACTCAACTGACATTGTCTCATCCTGTTGCTTTTCCACAAGCACAGACCATTTTGATCTTCACATTTTTTTGTGCATTTAAGCAGCTTAAATAGAATTGCTAAATCTATATGTACAAACCACTACAGAGCAAAGCAAATATGCTTTGTGAGTCTCACAGGAAAATCCATGTCATCCTCAAAAGCAAATGCTCCGTGATGCTTTAGGGAACAGAGATTCCACTCTGTCTACAGACCCATAATTTCAGAGATCACATAATATCTTTTTCCTTTAATAATGAGCTCATGGCAACTAAATATCCTATAAAGAAATAATAGTTTCACTGCAATGGTGAATCAGTCACGAAGATGGAGAGAGACACATTGCCTAATTTTCCCTGTAAATTATTTTAAGATCATCAAGGCGGGGGGAAGCATTAACCTCATAGAGAGCTTTTTAATATGATGCTGTCTCTGTCCCTTCCAGATAATAGCTCACTGTGCCATTAAACTTATCTCCTACAATAGCATCAAGCCAACTGTATTAACTCAACATCTGTTTTAGAAGAAAAAAATCCAAACTGAGGAACAGAAATTATTCTGGAGTCCATTATCACTTCATCATTGTAGTAGATGTCCAAGCCACGCTGATTTGTCCTACTTTTGTTGTACCATTGTCTCTCCAGTGCACATACCTTGACAGGACTTCTCATCTGTTAATAATTTAAATCCTTTTCTGCAGCTGCAATCAAAACTGCCAACAGTGTTTTTACAGAAATGATCACAGCCTCCATTATTGGACTGGCATTCATCAATATCTGTAACAAACAAACAAAAAAAGGCTTCAGCAAATTAACACAGAGCTTCAGCACTCAACCTACAGCCAGATGCAGAAAATAGTCACGTCCAGTCAGTTGGAGGAGCCCAGAAACAAAATCTGGTGAGACTCCCACAAATTAAGGAAGGAAGGAAGATCAGATCCAACTCTTAAGAATGATCCAGCCCATTCAGCCCCAGGACAGTGTTATTTGCTCTCATTTAATGTATTCCTGCCAGTTGCAGTTGGGTAACGCATTCATAAAAGACCATTCCCTAAGTTATATTTGGAAACACTTTGGCTCCAAGGCTCTCTAAGAGGTTTCAGTATTTTAAACATTCTCTCCGTTTCCTTTCTGTAAGCCCTGCAGAAATCTCAGGCAGAGACTTCCTGAACTACCCTGTCCTTTTCATGGCAACATTAGAATGAGGCCTTTATCTAATATTAATTGACTCAGGCCTGGGGATTTCATCATTTTTACTTAGCAGAACAGCCTTAACATCTAATTACAGGAAAAGCAATATAATATACAGCCTAAGCGTGCCTTTGCTGCTTGCCAGAGCTCTCATTAGAGCTGCTTGGAGCAGTGCATATTTATAAAACACATCCCTGTTTACACAATGGTGTTTACTCACCAGTTCTCCTGATGCCCAGCCAGGCTGGGGTTGGGTACCTGTGAGCACCCACACCTGCTAGTGCTGACCTCTGTTTGCTGGTTCAGAGCTCCCAAACCTGACCTCTGGAAAACGAGGCACAGGAGGTGGAAGTGGAGAGCGGGAGGGCAGAGAAGAGGAGATTCTCTGCATATGATACACCTGGTGTGAAGGAAAGCACAGCCTCTACCCCAGTGCAATCCTTCCTGCGGTCAGACTGCAGCTTTCCTCTGGGCTGCCTCTCTTTGGAGATGTGTATCTTGCAGGGCCTGGGAACACCTAGCAGGGGTACAAAGCCCACCTTTGCACGTCTTGCCATCGAACTGGAGGGTGAAGCCCACGGGGCAGCTGCAGTGCACTCCGGTGGAGGTGTCCTTGCAGGTGCGGTCGCAGCCGCCGTTGTTCACCGCGCACGTCTCTGCAGCGAGACAGAGCTCAGGGAAACCACAGTGGTACCAGGAACACCATGGGACACAAGGCACAGCCCCAACACACTGCTATTCAAACATTCAGCCCAGAACACACCAGCAACGGCTAAATACATGTGTTGGCAAAATCCCTGCCTCAGCCACTTCCAGGCTTTTTGTGGGAGCCCTACAAACCAAAATGCATTCCATTTGTGTCTGAAACACAAATCCCTGCTCCTTGGTGATGAATCTGTTACTGCCAGTCAGTTTCCTTATGCCCACAGTGGATTCTGGCTGATCCCCTGACAGTTCTCACCAATGAGACACCTGGTCACACTCAGCACTACTAAATGAGTTTTCTTGAATCCCTCCCAACTCCTCTTCCCTACTGCCTGTGCTCCCAGTCATGGTGGGTAACACTCCCATGAGCATTCCCTCAGCCTGGGAAACCAGGTGCCATTCCCACCAAAGTTTGTTCCTCTAACTCACTAACTATCCTTAACAAAATCCCTCCTATGCAAACCATGCCTAAACCTCACCAAACCTTGCTAGTGAGCACTCCTAAAACACAGTCCTTCACATCCAACCAAACAGAAATAATCACACTTTTTAAAATTCATCCTCTTGTCATCAGTCTAACCACCTCAATCAGTCTAACTGGCTGGACAAATATAATTTTACATGGCATGTATTGATTGAGAGAGCTGCAAAGAACGCTTTTGTATGTCTGCTTTTTGAAATCTACTTTCTAGCTCTGTATCCTCATTTTCTGCAGCATCGAGCATATGCTACTTATTGTCAAGTTTTGAGAGTTTTACTGGTTTATTCCCTCCCAGTCTCTCATCTCACATGCAGTATTGGCAGGCTGTATCCAATCTCCAAGGGAAGACAGAGTGCATCTTCTTTCTTCCTCTGTCATTCTTTTTGAAAATAAGGTTATTCATTACATGTCTGAACACTAGTGAATAACATTATTTCCTGAAGAGAGAGTGGATCATCTTAGGCAGAATTCAGCCCAGAGCTGAAGGTTCCATAAAAAAAACCAAAAAAGCCCCACACTAATTCTTCAGTCTAAAAGGTTTCAACAAGCAGGAGAATTATTTTGGAGCAGCACTTTTACCCATAAGCAATCGTCGCTTCACTCTCTTGTCCACATCAGCTGCTGCTGTGGTGTTTCCCTCAGAAACTTCTACAGCAGCTTCTTCCCTCTCTGTAAGAAACATGAAAAAAGCAAGTGAGTAAAGGTGCCCTGACTCATCTGACATCCAACACACACAAACGGCTCCATCACACACTGAATCAGGGACAGTCAGAACTGACCAGGCAGAAATAAGTTATTTTTCAAGAGCAAGTAGTAATAAAAATCATGAAGACCCTTCAGTCAAAACCATGAGAACGCTTTGCTTTTGTGGCTTCCTTACAAGTCATGTTTGCTTCAGTGTCCTTAACAAAACAAAAGATGTGCAACAGATGTAGTGAACAGCAGCAAGATGAAAGAGCTGACGGAGCTGCTCTGTTAGGAGTGCCCTGTCATCATCCATCGTGGGCTAATTACAACAACCAGCCAGCCATGCCTCAGCATTTGATTTCAATCAACAGACAACAAACTCTCCCAGAGACTGCAAGAGTTTATAAATCTTAAGTGCTTTCTTTACTGGATAACTGCCTTGCCAAAACTACACATTAATTGATTTCAGAGTCCCAGTTTTTACAGACGTACTCCTTGCTCACACTACTGAAGAAACTGAACCCAGGATATCCCACTGCTTTGGTTAGTGACAGGCCTCCTGTTTCAGGGGGACCAGTGATAATTACAGGTTGCAATAGTATTAGGTAGCTACTTAAACAGGGAAGCATAACTTGCCTGGACCCAACCAACTCACCCATGCCCTATCAGGTTCCTTAATTTTGAACTCCTTGACATTTTCTAGCCATACCATTATGAGGAGCACTAATCTTGCCCACAGAGCAGCACCACACCCCCTGGGACTGGGGATCCCCAGCAAAGCCCTTCCCTGCAGTGCATACTGACCCAGGCAGGTTTTGCCATCCAGGTGCATGACGTACTTGGGGTGGCATCCGCAGACAGGCCCGTGCTCAGCATCGTCACACGTGTGCTGGCAGCCCCCGTTCCCGTGGTTGCACGTCACTGGGGAGAAAACACAGGGCACTCTCACTTCCAGCACCTCTGAGGGACCCTGGGAAGTCCCACTGCCACCTGAGCATCCCATGCAGCCCTGTCCTGAAGGGCTCCGAGACAGTGAGACACTGCACAGCTCCCTCATGGAGCTGAACTTCCAGGTGTTATGAGTGATGGCACAAGTCCCAAACTACAGACACTACAGCAATCAACAGACTTGTGTGACAGTGCCCAGAAAAAAACACCAATTCTGGTTCAGTTCAAACACACACAGCTCAGGTGTGCCATGTTAGCTAAAACACACCAAGCCCCATCTCACTGTTCCCTTTGGGAACCATAAGCACATGCAGAATGTTGCCTACAAATGCAGCTCCTCTGGTTCTTGGACAGCTCAAATCCCGGTCGGCATTCACAGGCAACTCCTCCTTTGGGTGTTTCTCTGCAGATGTGGGCACAGCCATGGTCTTTGTTCATGCAGCTCATGCCTTCTGTAAAACAGGAAAGGTGCCAGAGCATCAGCATCCTCAGCAGCTCTGTGTGCAGGCAACAAGGTCACTGCAACACACACACAGACTGAGCCTCTGGCTCTGGGAAGGCTCTGCAGGGTTGGGACAAGAAGTTTCAGAGAGGAAAGGCAGTGAGTCCAGTCCTGCAAAGTCAATAACCCCAAGGTTTCTCCTTCTGTGATCATTTCTGTGCCTGTTATTTGACTACAAGGTCAAAGAGCAACATCCACAGATTTGTACAGCACCTGCATTTTCATCCAATGCTCTCACTTTTTACTTCTAGGTGTTCATAAAACCTCCTCATTCCTTTTACAAAAGTGGCAACATCCAAGTCTAAAATGAAGTTCTTATTTCTCTGCTGAAAAGAGCAGCCTGCTGACACAGGAATGTTTAGAACAGCAATCACAGGGGTCATCCCAATTTCAATTCCTGGCTTACAGAGCAGATTCCCAGAGTTATAACCTATCTCAGCAGTGAGCAAGAGCTGAGTCCTATCTCAGATAAGGCCAACATGCAGATCGCACACATGCTGTACATAAATTATCTCTATCATTAACCATTTTGTTTTCAATTTTTTTCTGATTTCAGTACACACCACCCAAGATAACCTCACTGGGTATTATCACAGTGTTGTGTATTTCTCCTCACCTTCCCAGTTAGACAGAATTTAGTGCCAGTGTCTGCTTTAACCAAATGAAGAACCAGTGTGACACTAATGACTGGATTTCTTTCGCTACACCTCCTGCCATTTTTATCTCTGCCAGCTCATGCACAGCACTCAATTGCCAAAGTGCTTTACTTGGCCTTTGCAAAAAATATCAAGTCAATTAAACAGGGAGAAATAGTTTCTAAAATTATTGCCAGAGCTTCTTTCCCCTTGTTCCATGGCTCAGTGCAAGCAATGTCTTTGACATTTGCAAGACGGTGGTGCAGCCTGCACACACACAACACAACAACACCCAGCAGCTGGCTGAGTTACCCAACGGCATCAACAGACCAAATTAAACAAATAGGTGTGCTTTTAACAGAATACCACAGGGTTTTTATGGAGACCTCTACAAAACCAGGAAAGAGAAGACATCTGAATGCTGTCCTTGGGTGTACAGAGAGCACACCTTTACCATCAAATTCTCTGCCTGGGCACATTTGGGTCCTTTAAAAGGACAAGTTACACCAAAGTGCTCTTTCTTCCCAGTGAGAACATTCCATTTATGAAGACCAGGTGGAACATTCTTTGGCTACAAGGGCTCGTCCCACACCACCCCAGTGACCTTCTCTGGAGCTGAGCAGAGGCACAGTCAGGAGCAGAACAGCAAGGGTGACCATGCTGCAGGAAAGGGACTGTCAGTTCCACACCCTATATATTTTTTAAACTTACACAGCCCTTTTTTCAGCCTTACTACCAAGAGAAGCAAACCCCCTGCATTGTGAGGCAGAGGTCACCATTATTCCACTCCACTTCAATTAGGTCCTTTCTCCACACTGCTATTCTCATCCCCCGGAGCACCAGCTACAGGACCCTTTCTCTATTAAGACAGCTTTAAGCAACAAAAGAATGGACACTGCAGAGCCCAGATTATTCTGCTCTGCTGGCTTTTTGATTCCTTTCCCACAGTGAGGGCTCTCCACAAGTCCAGCAAGACAATGAGGCTTCAAATCCTGCAGCACACAGGCACAGCCCAAGGAGCTCACAGGAAAGCTGTCACCCATTATTGTGTCAGTCAAGGAAGGAGACAACCCATGAGGCCACAAATTAGCCTCATTAGCTCTGGTGTTTTTGTCAAAGTCCTGCTCTTAAGCATGCAGCATGGTTTGGTCTGTTAGCTCAGAGGGGTTAGAGAGCATTAAGAGAATTAGCAGCTTAGTTTCTGTCAACAAAGTTATTCTTTTGTCTCTATTGAGCTACCAAAGGGGAAACTGCTCAAGCAGGTACTTTGGTAAAGTTCACTGGCACCAAACAAATGGTTTATATGCTCCATTTGGGATTGCTCCATTCTGAGGGAGCAGACTTCAATCAGGTCTCCACAGAAAGCTCAAACTGTGCTTTCCAGACCAGGATCCATTTTAATAACAAGGTGTCCATTGTGGAACAAGGTACTCCACCAAACCCACCAAAATCTGGCTGACCTAAAAGGCAGTTTCATAGAGGATACTCACATCCACACATTCCAGCACTTACTTTGGGACTGCTCTTGTTTCCAAAGCTGGTAGATCTCTCTCAGCCCCATTTTACAAGGTTGTATTATCAAAGAGATGTCTGTAAAGCCATAAATGCTGTGTGGCTGCAAACCCCTTGGTGCACACAAAGTCTCCCAGGTCACATTGTTCCAGTGCTATTGCAATGGCAGACTGTGCTCCACAAACAAACCCCAAGCAAATTTTGCTCAAATCTCCCCACACACTTCCCAGACACACAATTTCCTCTGCAGGAGACCCTGTCCTACTGACCCACGAATATCCTGGGATGGATGGCTCTGGATTGTCCCACTCAGCCAGGAGAGGTGACTCCAGTGCTTTCATGCTTGAGCAGACCCTGAGCCAGGTGGGACCTTTCTGATGACAGAACCTTCTTGAAGTTACCCAGCAAACCTGAGATCTGAGCACTCCTGTCACAGGCAAAAAAAGCCAGCAGCATTTCCCCACCAGGTGACACTAAATTAATCTCTTACATGTATGACCTGGGTTCAAATATTTGTATTTTTTTGCACAGAAGGTGTCAGGACAACATTCCCAACCTGCTAAGAGCATTAAGGCTCCATTTAGGGCAGGCTCAAGCAGGCATTCTGCAGGACAGAGAGAGAGGATGCAATGGGACAAAGAGCTACCAGACAGTCTGAGAGAACAGAAAAATGGTGAGGAGCATCAGCAGAGGAGCAAAGCAGGACATCCCAGGAGTGCTTTAGTCTTTCCTTGTGTTAAGGCAGCTTTTCCCCAAAGGTTCCCCAGCCATCCCTGCTCTCTGCAGCCAAGGCTCTAGGAGGGACAGCTGGGATGTGCCCTGTGTGTGAGTTCACACAGGATTCCACGGTGCCTTTCATCCCACAGATCCCCTCCATTCCCACCAATCCAGCCCAGCTATGACTGTGAAATACCACAAGGGAGAGGAGCAAGATTTGCCAGCCGGAGCAAAGGCAGCCACAAAGATGCACCAGGTATTTACTCACAAAAAATTCTCTTTTCCCTCAAGTTTTTATATTCCCTATTATGAAGCAAGTGGAACCAGACACAAGGTGCACATGCATGGCTGCCCTGCCAGCTGCTTTAACACCCTCCCTGGGTAATTCCTTCTCCCACACACACGAAGAGCAGCCCATTCCAGCAGGAAAACAAGGATAAAAAAAAAAGACTGTGCACAACCTCCCAGGACACCCTCAGTTCCTGTGGTTTAACCTCCAGGTCCATCTGCTCTTGTGTGTTCAAATACCAATTTTGCAGCCCACAGGGAAGGCGTCCCAGGCATTGATATATGGAAATTTTAATGGGGCTGGGAGACAGGGAAGGAAATATTCCTTCACTTTACAGGTAAGAAGCAAAACTGAATGGATAGTCTAGGCAGTAGGAGCCAAAATCTGCTTTGATCAATGCTGTGAGGTCTCAGAACCAGCAAAGTACAAACACTGAGCAATGCATACACGAGGCAGAGAGCAGAAATCCCAGAAATCAGCAGAAAAGCAGAGAACAAAGTGAGGGGAAAGATAAAGAAGTGAGATTTGGGTTACAACCCAAGGGGAAAAAAAAGGTAAAAAAAGGTGGGGAATCCTCAGCAGCACTTTACAGTAATGAAGGGGGGAGGGGGCGAGGTAGAAGGGAAAGAGTCACAGCATGGAACCTGAAAAAATGGCTTCCAAAGAAAGCAAAACAAGCACCAAAATGTTTTACTAAGAAGAAAAAGAATGTATCAGGCAAAATAGTGTGCTGAGGGTTTTTCTTAAGACTGGCTTTGATAAAGATGTATTTTATTAGATAGACTTTATGGGGAAAAAAAAATCCATCTCTTTGTCCTCTGTTTTTTCCTTTTCAAAGAAAAATACCTATGTTTAGTGGATGTTTGTTATTATGGAAAAAGGACCTTTTAGGGGAAAAAATTATTAAGAGAAATTAAATGCATCTTTAAGAAAAGAGATAGAATTCCAAAGGTACAAAGAAGGGAGCAAATATTAATGACAGGGAATGCTGCTGCTGTCAGTTCAAGAGAGTAGAAGGCACTGAAGCAGCAGCAAGTAGGAAAAAAGAGTTTGAAGTGTTTCCTCTCTTGGCATCAGACAAGACAAGGAGTTCAAGCAACCAATTTCAGTGCTTAGAGAGCCCCTCCATGGGTGCACACAAACTCACAGCCCTGCTGTGCCTGGCCCAGCCACTGCAGTGGCAGCCTGAACCAGACCCCTGTGGGACCAAGCCCAGGGCCAGAGGAGCTGAGGACACAAATTCTTAACCCAAACAGAAGATCAATTCAGCTCTGTCAGACAGCAGCCACCTCAGCACCCTCATCTGTGGATGGCCATATATGTCTACAAATGTTGATCTCTTCACTTTGGGGATTTTTAGAGTGAGATTTGTTTATTCATGCTCAGATTCCTCTTATACTTATGCCAACAATAAGCCATAGATTAAAGAAAGCCTTGCAGCTCTAAGCACTTCTAACTGAGATTTTCACTGTACAGTTCAATGGACAACTCCCTGATCTGAGCAACCACTTTAAAGCATCCCCTGAGGGCATCCAAAATAATTTTGTTCCATCTGATGCCTAATCAGATATCCAAGACTCTGATCTCTCAAAGGTCGCTTCACAAAGGTTTCACTCAAAACAAAGCACGAGATTTGAATACCTTTGGGGCTGACAAACAATAAATCTCTCAGCTGAAACCTAAACATTCTACGGGGAATCTAAAAGGTATCTGAAGGCAGTGCAGCTCTTGCCCTGTAACTAAAGCCACTGAAAATGGATATTTGTGGCCATTCCCTGGGTTGGGGCAGAGTTTTGGTGCCCAGCAGAGCAGCAGGGAGCCGGGGTGCAGCAGCACAGCCTTCAGCAGGCTCAGCACCGCACACACAGCCGGCATCAAAGAGAGGAAGAGATGCAGCTCTTCAAAGCCACTTGGAACATCCTGACACGCTGCTCCTTTCAAAGGCAGCAGGACTCCAAGCCCTTCCCAGCCTTGAAAACCCTGAGAGCCCCTCAGAAGGGGTTTGTGGCTCTGCCTGCGGGCGGGCGGTACCTTCGGAGCGGTGGATGCAGGTGTGCTGGTTGTCGCTGAGGAAGAAGCCCTCCTTGCAGCGGCACTCGTAGCTCCCCACTGTGTTCACACACACGTGCTGGCAGCCGCCATTGTTGAACATGCACTCGTCTGTGTCTGAGGGAGAGAGGGAAAGGCAGAGGTGAGCTTGGTGCCCTCACCACGGCACAGATAGACAGACATCAGCTCGGGCTGGAGGCACCCAGGCAGCTGAGACACCCCTTGGTTTGTGATCCTCATCCCTCAGGCCTGGGACACCATCACCCATCATCACTCCTGTCCTTGACCGACTGCAGTCAAGGACAAGAGCAAGGACAAGAGCACAAGTTCTGGGAGCAGTTTGAATCTTGATTTTGCAACAATCAGACTCTCAACACCACCAGAGAACACAGAAGGGCTCTGCTTGCAAGAGAACCAACACAACCAAAGAGTAGAAAAGCTTCAGCTAAGCCTCTGAACAACAGGACGCCCATCCCAATCTCCAATTCTTTGGAATTTTACCCCTTAATAAGCACAGGTTTTTGAAACCATGAGTGCCAAATACTTCTCCTAGCCTAATTTTCAGAAATTTTTAGCAGGAACTGAAAAAAGTCCCTTAAAAACAGAACAAAACCTTGCTGAGGCAAAGCACTGGTCTCATTTGCAAATTCATCTGTAACACCATGTTTGCTCCCTGTTCTGTCCATTGTTCCTGGCTAATAGTACAATGTTTTTAATTTAACATTGTAGCATTTCTGGCAGAAAACAGCTGTCTTTAAAAAAAAAGAGGAGAAAGAGAGGCTTTTAGTAAGAAGCATAACATAGTATTACAACAGATTTAATGTCCACTGAAGGCAGTGAGTAAGGCAATTGGAGGCAAAGGAATGTGACCTGCTGGAGAAAAAGAGCGGCTGACATATCTCCATCACAAAGAAGCTGAGTATTTTAGAGCTCTGCAGCGATGTGAATGTGCAAACAATCATGAATAAACAGCCACCACGAGCCTTTAGTGCTACAGATTTGAACTCCAGCAGATGTTTCTGTCTTACAGACCTTGGAAAGCTTTCAAAAAAATCATCTCTTTCCAACAAGTAATTGTCTATTTGGCTTAAACCCAGGCACACAGCAGAGATCTTCAAAAATAAGGGTGAGAGGAGGGCAACCCTGGCGTGAACAAAGTAAATAAACAGATTAAGAGAAGATGTGATCCAATTTGCTGCATGCCAAAATATTTATTTAACGTTTACATCACAACTCAAAATTGGCACATCAGTGGTAAAAACCTCACTGTATGTCAATGACATTTTGTTTTGTTTTATTTTATAGGTCTGCCATGCAATGCTGAGCAGCTTCCCAGCCACATAGCAGGTGGGAGATTTTGGCCTAGGTTGTGTCAGTGGTCACAAAGAGCTCATGAAGCATGCCCTGGGTACAAGGAGAATACACACATGGCCCTGGTGCCATTGTCAGGGGCAGTGTGCTCCTCCACATCCAGCCCTCCGTGGTAACCTCAGCTGAACTCCACTCTGTGCTTACACAAACGCAAAAATAAGATGGATGTTCTGTTATTTTAAAGCATCCGCAGATACTTTGTTTCCTTCTCTACTTTATTGAGATGTTTGGAAGTTGGGGAGTTCAGCCTCTCCTCCACCTACACTGCAGAAAGCTGGGCAGGCAAGCAGGTAAAACCCAACACAATCCCACTGAATACTCCAGAGTTTCCTGATTTGTCCCTGCAGAAGACACAGTCTGGGGATGGTGTGACCCCCAGTTGATGTGCCACACACCAGTGGGAGCAGCCAGCCAAATTAACTGCAATTATTCAGGAAGGGCAAGGTTCCCTCTGACTGCCCTGGGTGTGGAGGTGTGTCCAGCACATCCACAGGAGTGCAGCACTAGAGGGAAACTGAGCCATCCCTGGAAAAGCAAATGGCACAGGGTGAGCACACAGGGTGCCCAGGAAGCAGGACAGCTCCACCAGCTTGAGGCTCAGTCCCTCTGCTCTTCAGTGGCCTCCATCACACACACTCCAAATCATCCTCTCCTTTTGGGAATACTCAGAGTGAGAAGCCCCCACATTACAAGACAACTGATCCTAAGCTAACTGTGGGACAGAGAGCACAATGATAGCACATGTTCCTTTATATAAACTCATTTAACATCATAACAGATGGCATTTGGCATGGGGGGAAAGAGCCACACGAGGATGATACCTCAATACCTGAAAATCCTTAGACTCACGAGCAACATTTCCTCTCTGTCTGCACTGAGTGAGCCCAGGAGACGGGCAGGTGTTGCCCAGGGGTGTGTTCCAGCATTCCCCACCCTGCCCCTGAGCACACCCCTTACCCAGGCAGTTGTGGCCATCGTGAGCCAGCATGAAGCCGTCGTAGCAAGTGCAGCGGTAATTCCCTGGAATGTTGAAACACTCGTGGACACAGCCCCCATTGAAGTCGTTGTCACATTCATCAATGTCTAAGGAATAAAGCAAAAGTCAGTATGATGGATGCTTGCCTGAGTGTTATAGACAGGGATGTGACTGCCTAAATGTGAGCAGCAACTGCTGTCCAACACGGTTATTGTCTTGCAAACACACTATATTTAATGCATTTCTTGCTGAATGACTGAGAAAACGCCCTGAAACCCCCTGGCAGCTTTACCTTATGCTTTTTAAGGGCATAAACAACAAACTCATTATCAGGCTGAGTGAAATGAACAGGTGAAAATCCATGCAAGGTTTGCCTCTGATTTTGTAAACAGGTGACAAAACAATCCCTATTTTGATTTAAAAATCATCCTTGGTAATTTTCAGTGGCTCTATTTTCTCAGAAATGCTCCATGCTGGCACAGAGAGAGCGCTGTGCTCTGCTCCCTTTACCTTCACATTTCCTCCCCTCGCCAGTGTAACCCATTTTGCACATGCACTTGTACAGCTTCGGGGTGTTCTGGCAAATAGCATCTGGGTGGCAGTCATCCAGCCCCAGGGCACACTCGTCCACATCTGTGAAAAGACAGCAGGCTCAGGAGGGATGTCAGCAGCAGCAGGAGAGCAGGGCACGGCTCCTGAGCACATCCCTGAGGGGATGACAAGGCTGAGCATCTCTTATGGTGCTCACAAGAATATTGTGTGGTTTTGTGTGCCAGGACAGAAACAGGCAGAGACAGCATCTGCGCTTCAATTTCTGGCATATTCTACCTGCACATAGATATATTTGTATGCAATTCAGATAAGCCCAAGGTAAGCTTTTCTGCACATTTATAAATGCACCCAAAACAAACTCATAAAGGTTAGATGCTCTGTGAAATTCAGCTGATAGGTTCACAGAGATTCATCAGAGATTGTCAATCTTTCTGATTAAAGGCAGTCATTGAAAGAGTTAAAACATTAAAAACAAAAAACAGTCACTGAAAGAGTTCTTGATCACATCCATGCATCACCTGCAGGAAGCCCAAGGATTTTTAAAATAACAAGGGGAGAGAATTGAAATGCGCTTTCAAAGTCACCACCAACAAGTTAAAAAACTGACTTACCATTAAACAGATGTATAATCGTAAAATATTATTTTTTAATACAAGAATAGTGTCTGGGCAGCAGCATTGCCAAATCACCTGGCCAGCCATCTCAAAGCACAGCAAACTGAAGCAAAATATCCAGGTGGAAACTTCAGAGAAGAGGAAATGAAGAGAAAGGGAAACACCAACAGGAAGAAGTCCTGGAGATGAAGAAGTGTAGACAGAAGAGGAAGAAAAGTTACAGGCAGCAGAAGACAGACATCAGCACAAGCTTTTCACTCAGCAGAAGAAAACTGAAGGATGGAAACAGGAAGATTTCCAGCAACTGGTTAAAAGGGAGAATTGTACGAGCAACACCCTATGCAGGTACAAAAAGTGCCTCATAAAACAAGAAGTAGTGCATGAGTATCAGCAGAAAGCAACTACTTCAATAGCCAGCCACTTTTTATGGTGGGGATCACTTTCCAAATGGAAACTTCAGCCAGCACTTCTCCCATTTACAATTATAGCTTTCATCCTGCTCTTTTTTTTTTTTCCTTTCCCCCAATCACAAAATATGCCTGTAGGTACAGCAGCAGCTGCCAACTGCAGAAAGTGTTCACTTGGTTTTAACTCCTAATGGGGTTTGGCAGTGGGAAACGAGGCAGAGAGCCAGTGCTAGCGCAGCCGTGCCTGCCTGGCTCTCAGGTGCACACAGCTCCAGGGATGGGGTCCCAGACACTGCCACCAGCAAGAAAGGAGAAGGTGCAAACAGTGGGAAGCAGCTGGGAAGGGCAGCAGAATCGGCTTCCTCTCAAAGCAGAGAAGTCTAGCCATTAAAAAATATGGGAGACAGGGAATTGAAGGAACAAATCATGCAAGGAAGGGTGCGGGCAACAGCTGAGGGGTCTCCAGCTAGTGGGACTCCGGTAGGTGGGGCAGACAGAAAGGATGGGCAGGAAGGACAGACAGAGGGCATAAAGGAGCACCAGCCACACTGTGTGCCCTCGACACCTCAGCTCTCCCCTGCCCGAGCCAGGGGCACAGAGCTGCCCCGGCAAGAGGGGTCCCAGGAAACACCCGGCAAGGAGGGGCTTCCCTCTAGGGCAGGACACAGAGACAGGGAGCAGATCTCGTGGCAGCTCAGCTGGGTTATCTTTACACCGCCCCTCTGTGATCTGCAGCGTGCGGTAAAGAAGCGCAAAAAGAAGCCGCATCACTAATGCATGCAAAGGCGTGGAAAAGAGAGCTAGGAAAAATCCGTAGGCACAGAGAGCGAAATTTCCCCTTACGGTGACAGCATCCCGAGCCCAAGAGAGATCCTGCAGGAACGAGACTGTGAGCAAACATCGCAGCCTTCAACTTGGCAGGAGGCGGCGGCGGGAGAACCCCGGGCTGGTTCCGCGGGGTCCGAAGGCAGCTCCGCCCGCGGCACACACCATCCACACCCCGCTCCCCAGGTGCCCGTCCCGGGGCTCTCCCCGCTCCCGGGACAGCGGGAACCACCGGGAAAGCGGCGCTGGCAGCACCCGCGGAGCCCGAGCGCCCTGCGAGCAGCCCGGGCACGGCCGCAGCTCGCACCGGCACTGGCACCGGCCCCTTCCCTTGGCCGCCGGCCCGGAGAGGAGCCGGGACCGCGCGGTGCCCACGGGGGGAGCCGCGGTGCAGGGATGGGGCGAGCGGGGGCCGGGACCGGGCAGGGTCTGAGGGCATGGACCGAGGCACTCACCGGGCAGGGACCGGGGCATGGACGGGGGCGGAGGGCACTCACCGGGCAGGGGCAGAGCGGCGGGCCCGGCCGGCGCGGGCAGCAGCAGGAGCAGCAGCGGCAGTGCCCTGGCCCCCGAGGCGCCGCGGCGGCCGCCGGACCCCATGGATGGCGCTGCTGCCGCTGCCGCCGCCGGGCGGGAGGAGGCGGCGGCCGAGGGAGTGTCTGGGGCGCCCGGCCCGCCTCGCACTGACAGCGGGCGCGGGGCGGCGAGGGCTGGGCGGGCCTCCCCTCCCTGCCCGGCCCAGACCTGCCCCGCTGCTGCCCCGGGCGCGGTGGGCGCTGCCGGCGCACGAACCGCCCCATCCCGCCCATGAGAGCCCCGGCAGCCGCACACCTGCGGAGCCACAAACACAGGTGTCCCATGGAGCTGCTGGAAACCCGGCAGCGGGAACCCCTCACACCAGGAGCGGGTGCTCCCCGGGCCCGGGAAGCATTGCCCGGCAGGACGAGCCTGTGGCAGCCCGAACACACCCGATGCGCTCCAGCCTCCATTGCGCTGGTTCAATACGATATTGACATTTTTACCGTGTAATCACACCCCACCGCAGAGCGTGAATCCCCCCCGGCTGCAGGCCATGCCAAAGCCACGCATCACCCCACCCCCAAGCCAACCCCATCCCACCTCCATTCCCAGCCAGGGATTTCTCACAGCTGTCGCTCCTTTGGCAGGTAAAATTGGCTCATACATTATTCACTGAAATTATAATTTCCTAAATAATGTCTGACCTTTCAGGCTGCGAGCAAGAGCAGGCAGTATTCTCTCCCACCCCTCCCTCCCATCCCCGTTTCACTGCCCTTTCCCTTTTGTTTTGTTCTGTGAGAAATACTGAGCTGTTTCTAGTTGCAAGGGCGGTTTATACACATTAGTAAATCTTCAGAATGAAACTTTCCCTCAGTCTTTGTCTTTGTTTCCTTAATGGCAGCTATAAATTACCACTCTCCTTTCTCACTGGAGCATCAGGCTTCATTGCTTTTGAAATGATCAAAGTTCTTCTCTTTTTGAATCCAATGAGAAGCAACCTTTTGTGTCTCCTGGACGGTTTCAGTCTTAGGCAATCTCATCTATAAATACATAAAGCTGCTCATTAAACACTCCAAGGATTCTCCAGCCCTAACCAATAAATGAATGAAGGGTTTCTCGAGAGTTTCCATGATCTCCTGAATAAACCTTCATACTTGGGGTGGGAACTGGCACACCTGCACATCTCTCATCCAGGGATATCACTCAGGTTTGTCTCCATAAACAGCTCTCCCAAATGGACTGAACCCATCTCCAATCCAGGCACATGGCTTCAAACCCCCTCACAGAAAAGCTGCCACTCACTTCAGGCACTGCCCAGTCCCCTCAATGAACTCGACCAGTATTAATTAAATTAACTTTCATCACAAGATTTGCAAAAGTCAAAGTAAGAACACATATGAAGAGTGCAGCAGAAAAAGCAGCAAGAGACACTGAAGAGTTGTGTGACCAAAATATTCAAAGCTTCCTGAGGCACCCTAAAAGCAAAGCATCTTTCTTACTTCTGTAAACTAAAACATAAAGGGAGACATAAATATTTGGGAACGCCTGAGTTAGATCAAAAGATCTCACTGCAGCTTGGAAAACAAACAGAACAATATCAAATTTATCTTAGCTAATGAAGCCATTTCTTACACATAAATCTCAAAGTGTTTTGTGAAGGATCCTGTCTATTATTTCACATATAACACACATTTGTTTATGATGAGGAATTGCCATTAAAATATCTTTTTAAAGACACAAACCAGACAAGCTCAGACCTCAACTCAGATGCCTTTCTGCAGCCTTTTTAACTATTTCTATTCACCCACAGAGTCACAGTGACAGATGACTGCTCTGGCCATGAAGACCTTTACTGGGAGAGAGAAGCTACAAAAATTCTTAAGATTCAACTTCAGCACTACGTATGAGGAAAGGAAAACAACCCCACCAGGGCAGTTGGACAGGAAGACAACCAAATGGGACTGTCGGGGAATTTTTTCCAGCAATTTTAAATAAAATCAAGTAACAAAGTTTCAGGGAGGAAAATAGATCCTGGAAAATAGCTACTTCCATAGAGGTAAGACCCTCAATTCCCCTCTGCTCTCATTTTTACCATCACATGCAGCTGCCCCACACTGACAGATGGAGACTAAGCTACCACAGAGCAGCTGGATATAAAATCTGCTTCAGAAACTGCACACCTCATGTCCTGAGGAGAGATGAATACTTTTGTCTGCAAATTTGGGTTAAAAACTGCTTTATGTTTCATAATCCTTGTTAAATTTCATTATTTAATGATGACCAAACAATACCTGAAGACATGCAGATTGCCATTTCATCTGCACTTCAATGAGAAGTATCAACTCTGCTGGCCTGCATCATATTGACCCAAAATTGAGCATGATGAGTGCTTGTGACAGCAGCTGAAAACAACTGGGAGGGCTGGGAGATGCCAGAATGATAAAAGAAAAGTAGGATGCTGACAAGCAAGGAAATACTTTCAAGTATTTAATTGTTCCAAAGCACACACAATATGTCTCAGAGCTGTAGTTTCAAGCCTTGCTCATCTCCAGGTGTACAGTGAGTTTTGAGTAATTGTTTTTCTTTGAAATGTATCACTCAAATTTTTGCACTTCCCATTGTAGTGTCCCAGGCTTGCTGAATTCTGTGTAAAAATAACACATCTTCAGTAACCAGCAGGACCTGCACAGGACTCATCTGAGACAGAGGAAATTTGTGCATTCTCTGGTCACAAGGGGCATTAAAAACCCCTCCCCTGTAATTTATATGCCTTGTCTAAGTCTTTTTATGTCATTTGTAGAAAAATATTCCCCAAACAAATATCAGATCCACCAGTGACACTTTAAATGTTGCAGGATCTGCATCTTAATGTGCCACTGTCACTGAAATGAAGAACAGCTCCTGTTTATTGCAGAACTGAACACAGCATGGCCTATTAAGACACACACATTTCTGAGTTAATAGGGAAAAAAAGGAGACACTTTATCATGTGAAATAACTTTTAGACATTTGTATTTCCTTGTGAGAACTTTCCAAGTCATTGCTACAACAAATGGTAACATTTTGGACCAGAGCAGTCAGTGAACAGCCCCTGCAGTTGCACAACACACTGCCCACCAAGGCCCTGCTCTGGGTGCTCCTTTTCCTTGGAGGAAACCTGAAAAACCTGAGGTGAGGTGAATGAAGCTGCACTTACCTCAGCCCCACATCCATCCCTGCAGAGGGTCAGGAGCAGCAGGTCCATGCCAGCCCAGGGAGCAGAGCTCTGTCTGTGTCTCTCACAGGCCCAGCACACCCACAGCAGGTACCAAATCCACAAATGCATCCCAAAACCTGCCCAAGGATGAGGCCAGAGCATGGCTCAGGCCAAGCTCACCCTCTGGCATTCCCCAGGATCACCCCCAGCTCAGGCAGATTGATGCCTTCCCCCAAGAGAGATATTGATATTTTTATTTGTTATTTCCCTTTGCTTACAAAAAGCCTCCACCACAGACCAGGTGCAAAACCTCCCATGCAAAACCAACCCAGGGGTGTGAGAGGTGAAGCACCAGAGATACCTCCAGATGAATGATCCAATTCCTTCCCTTCTGTCTTCCCTGGCGGAATAGAGCATCCAGAGATGGTCTCACACACTTTCAAACTGAGGGAATGGCAGCACATCTGAGGGTGTGTGTGCTCACAGACCCTCCCAAGGTCTGTGTGGTCCCTTTGCCTTCCCTTGTCCCCATTCCCTGACTCCTGAGCAGCATCTCCTCCACTGCTGGCAGTCTGACTGACAGGGATGGCCTCTGATGTCACCCTGGTTTTTTAAGATTTTCTAAGCCTTCCGATGTTGATATTCTTGTAGTGAACTTTCTCACACACTTTCTGTAAATAACTCATTGTTTTTCATTCCTTTATGGAGGAGGAGAGAGTTGATGGACGGCTAGTTTGACCAGTGTCATTGCAGAGGTGTCAATGTCACCTTCCAATCCACTGTCACTTTTGTAAAACTATAAATATTGGAGTCAGAGAATAAAACTTCCCTTTTTTCCCTTCACCTTGAGAGTGGTGGTGTGCTTGTGTTCTCTCGTGTCTTTCAGCGACACTCTGGAGCTGGGAGGGAGCAGCTGTAGCTGGACAGATCAGACACCAAACTGTACAACAAAGATCTCCTGAAATGAGCCACTAATATGTCCCACAGACCTGCAGCCAGGCAATGAGCCAGATGATCAGCAAAATTATACCAGACTTTTTGAAAATAGCACATTAATGCTATTTTTTCATGTTAGAAGACAAATTTTATTGCAATTCAGCAAATGAGCTACACCTGTAAAACCTCTTTGTATATCCAATTCACATTTAATGTCCAATGGATTGAAATGTCACAGGAAAAAATAAAAAAAGGAAAACAGTACCTGGTTTTGTCATTATAATGTAAACTTCAACACGGCCCTTAAAAATAACAAGCCAGTGATTTCCCCATGTAGTAAAATATATAGTTTATAAGGTATTGATGCTTTATCTTAGTTCAACAGCCAATCTCTAGGTATAAAATAAAGAGCTACAAAGATGTGAAGTACGTGTACAATTTCTTCAAGTATTTTCAAGTACCCTATAGTCTCCTCACTACGGACAAAATTCATTTGACAATATACAGAAAATGTTAAATCTGAATAGTTTCACGGCAGAAATCTTAACCATATTCATGAATTTAAAACACATAAAAAGTATGGGTCATCCAGCTAGTAAGTCCCATTTGAA